CTCTTTGCAGGGAGTTCTGCTGAAGGGTTCCGTACTGGGCCTGCGCTCTGGGTCTATTCAGGATCTCGTGGCCTGGGTCATCTCGCTCACTCGCCGGGCCTGCGCTCTGGGTCTGTTCACGATCCCACGGTGTGGATCGTCTCCCTCACTTGCCAGGCCTGCGCTCTGGGTCTGTTCAGGATCCCGCAGCCCGGGTCGTCTCACTCACTCGCCCGGGCCTGCGCTCTGGGTCTAATCAGGACCCCGCGGCCCTGGGTTGTCTCACTCACTCACTGGGCCTGCGCTCTGGGTCTGTTCAGGATCCCGTGGCCCCTGGTTGTCTCACTCACTCGCCGGGCCTGCGCTCTGGGTCTCCCAAGTAATTCAATTTTAGATGGAAACATTTTCTTCCCAAAATTATGTTAATCGGAATGACACTCTCTCAGTTCCTTTTTGTTTTGTTTACACTCTAAATCATGGGCTAAGGATGATGGGGTGGAGGCTGTCGGACATTCTGGAATATTTTGCTGTTTTCAGCATGGTGTACATTTGTTAATAATTGTGTCTTTTGTTTTTAAACAAATTCTAGGGCTGGGGAGATAGCTCAGCAGCATAAGCACTTGCCTGGAAAGCACCAGGTCCTGAATTCTATCTCTGATACTGCATGTTGTGCAGGTCCCAGAATCCCAGGTGTGCTGTTCTGGCCCTGGAACCGGGCAGCATGCCTGTAATCCTAGCACTAGGGAGGCTGAGACAGGAGGATCACTAAAAGTTCAAACTGCATAGTGAGACCCGGTATCAAAAAGAAAAAGAAATTTTATACACCTGACATTATGCTATAGATCTTTACAGAAAGGATTCAAGTAACACATTTCAGTATAAATAAATTTTTTTTGCTCCATACAATATGTTTAAATGTCATCACAAGAAAGTAGACTCCAGAAAGAATTTCTAAAACAGGAACTTACTATATTACTCTTAAATTTTATTAATGTCTTAAGTTTATCATTTACAATGAGACATGTATTTTAAAAGCATTCTTATACATAAACAGGCCAAGGAATAGTTAAGTATTTCTCCCTAAAACATGCATGTCAATATTATTGAACTGTATATAAGAGAGGGAAACAAATTTTAAGCCTTTTTTATTTGGAATAAAAATATTTGGAAATTATTATTTGGGATGCCAAATATTTTTCTAGAACAATTGTATTTTTCAATAGGAAATGCTGATATAATTAAAATGCCTTGGTGTTGATAAAAACTGGTAAAACATCTGAATTATGCATGATCAGCAAGGAGAATTTCAGTGGGCCTAAGGTACCTGTCAAATTTGAATCAGGTAGCGTCACTTAAATGGCTTAGCTGGAAGAACAAGTACAGCCAGATTATGAGACACACACATATTAAAGGCACATGATGAAGCTAAACAGGTGGCTTAGAGTCTAGGGACTAATTGCTCTCTCAGTAGGAAAGGAAGAAAATGTCCACTTAATTGCATTTATTGATAAATGCAATTATTGTAGGGCAGCAAATGTCTTTCTTTCGGACATACAACTACTAGATAAATGCTGAAGCAGTATGACTACAGTTAAATTTTCTTACACTGCAGTAAAACTGATGTTAAAACTCTTATATTGTTTCTACATATTTGCTCAGATCCATAAAAACTTCACAATTAGGTAAAGAATTTATTAGACAATAAAGGATGCTCAAACTATTATTCCACAGGAGTCAAATCCAAATTCTGGAGTTGACTGCTGACTATATTCATTTTGGGCTTTTCCCAGAATGGAAAAAAATTCCCACACAATCTCCCTTTGTACAGCTAAAATGTTAGCACATCCACTGTGGTTCCCTCCTTTTTCTTTGGTGATTCAGAGGTGTTTGCCTCCCAATCCCTCAATTACACATTCTTTAACAATACAACTGCCCTAAATATCCACAGAACAAAACGGAATACACTAAAACCCACCATCTTCAACAATATTTAAATTATCTCAAATCATTTGATAAAGAAACAAAATATCAAGCATCCACTGTATTGTCAATAATCAGTGCACAGAAGTTTATTCCCATAAGTGAATATTAGGAGGCAAAGGATGATACTGTGTGCTTCTTACAGGCTAGCAAAATATTCCCATCACATTTAAATGAAAATTTTTAGTACTTTACCTGTTTGGGCTCCTGGAAATAAGCAGCACCAACAATTTAATTTCAATTCCCAAAATAACAATGTTCTCTACTTAAATAGTTTTGAAGCACCTAAAACTTCAATAACAAACGACATTTAGATGAGAAGCTATTCTATCTATCCATTGCATACTTTTGTATGCATATACAAAGATTCTATATAGTTTCAGTAGACAGCTTTAAAGATTGGTGATTTCCAACTTGGCAACAGCTTTGTGCAACTGAAACCAAAAATGTTTCTCAAAGTAAATTACACTAGTTAACAAATCAATCGACCAAACAAAAGCCATTTCAAGGCTACTGCTATAATGAACAGTTCAATCTGAAGTACAGTGGAATAAACTGGCTGATAGGAACAAAGAGAAATCTTGAAGGCATAGAACAAGATTGAAACAAGAAAAAGTGAAAAGGAGGTTTGAAGAGACAGGCAGACAATTTTCTGAGCAGTAAAAGGCTTGAGTCACATGGATTGCTTCTATTTCCTTTGTCTCTCATATTGTTGGTTAATGAGAACTTTTTATTTCTTTACACAGTTTGGCCATGTAAATCCACCACAGAGAGATGATACAATGATATAGATGAACACCTGTAAAAAAGAAGACAATTTTGTTTTCTTGGGTTTATCATATGTTCATATGAAAATAAGGCCCTATTAAAGAAACACTTCAATACTTTTGATTACATAAGAGTAACAGTTCGGTATTAATACAACAAACTAATCAAGTATTTTCAAAGACAGAAGTAGTATTAAAATTATCCTGAGATAATTCTCATCTACTTGAATTCTACTATGATTTCTTGCATTAGGGAGAAAGTAATGGGGTGGCTAATCTTCATGGATAACTAGGCATGATCAAGGCTATGTGAGCAACTCTTATTGAGGCATCATTAACATATCATAAAATTTGTAATAACCACAATTTCCTTGAAGTACAATTTTTCTACTAACTATATTTTTAATTTCTACATATACATTGGATTTTTCATTATTATGATGATATGACTACATTAAGACTCTACATCTATGTAAACTATGAGCAGGAATGTTGCTGTGCAATTTTCATTAGAAAATCACACAATAATTATGATTACAGAACCAAAGAAAAGCTGATGATGTGACAGTGTAAAAATGCTAGTTCTTTTTTTTTTTGTGCAGGGTCTCACTACATAGCCCAGACTCATAGTGATCCTCCTGATTTCTGCCTCCCTGGTGCTAGGATTACAGGCGTGCACTACCATGCACCACCATTTCATCGCAGGCTCACCTGGGGGTGGAGAAAAATGCTAGTTCTAATGTATGTTTATTAGCTTTTTAAAAATTCTAGTATTATGATTTCAAATTATGAAAATTTAAAAATACTATTTTGTTACATTCAAAATGTAATTTATTTTATTCATTAGGTTCAGTACATTAGGCTGGCCATCTTGTTTTACAACTGCTTGAGATCTTTAAGTGATTGACTTCATTCACTATTCAAATAAAATGCATTTAGGAATTACATGTCTCATGCCATAAAAGTAAGCAGGGCATTAATGTTGTTGTTGAGTAAGTGGTTATTAGTGAATAGTTCAAACTACCCACATTATATGCACACATGCCCACATACATAGTCCACAATTATAAAGTTTAGTAAATTGATATAAAGTAGAATATTTTCAGCTTGGGATTTAGCTCAGTGGTGTAGTACCTGCTTAACAAGCATGACATTCCTGATACCCCCATAAAACAAATAAAACAGAATACTTGCTATCACTATAAGGATTTGTCAAGCTGCGATACCAATACTTTTTAGCAAGCATCAACATTAGATTTACAGTAGTATTTTACATGTAGTACATAATCAATAATATAATTGCAACTTAACATTTCAGTTGCAGAAATCAATCTAAAATTACACACTAGAGATTAAGGAAGACACTATGGTTAGGAACTTAAGAGTGTGCCACCTGAGGACCCTGAGCTAGGAAAGAGAGATCATTGCAGTCATCTCTTTTCTCTTAGGTAGGTCCAACTATCTAAAGAACAGAACCCTCAACGAGAAGCAGAGAAGTGAAAGTATTCCTTAGAGATAACTGGGCTTCTGCAAGTGACTGAAAGATGGGGAGGAAAGGCAGTTTTTGCCAGACATGAAATAATTCAGGTCAAACCCTGACACCTTTAGCAACAGAATCTGCTTGTAGGTGCTTTAATCTGCTGAGCTATTTGGCTGGCCCCTGGTTCTTATATTTTTGATTCAGGATTATTTATTTAATTATTTATTTAGGTCCTGTGATAAGGATCAGGTCCAGGGCTTCACAAATGCTATGCAAGTGCTGTACCACTGAGCCAACTCCTCTAGTCACTCTAACATAAAAATCACTGAGGACTCCAAATGATTCTTTTCTAGGGTAATTATGAATAGCAGTATTTATCATATTAGATATTAATATTTCCAAATATGATTTTAACAATTAAAAACTCCTTACCTAGAAACAGAACTAATATTTATATTATAAATAACTGTATTAGCCAAGCATAGTGCTATGTGCTTATAGTACCAGCACCTAGGAGGCTAAAGCAGGAGAATCACTTGAGCCCAGGAATTTGAGATAAGCCTGACCAACACAGCAAGAACTCAAATCCAGGAAATATAATAACTACTGTATAACCATATTTCTGTGAGGTTAAACGATATAAGAATTCTCAACCAGGAAGAAAGGTTTTAAGTAGAGATGATATTTTATAATAACTTCACTATGGAATAGGAATGCCACTTTCTGGGCTTGAGTTTCAGATGTAGCAAGTGCTAATTACTGAGAAAGAATTCCATTGCCTAATTTCTTAGAAACTGAAAAATAAAATCAGATACTAAAAGGACAAGAACTAGACTCACAATTGAGACGATGATGATAATGATGGTAAGCTTGATGTTCTTCATACACATGGCGCGGGCAAGGTTTCTGCTGGTTGTTTTGAAGGTGACAGACTAGGAAAAAGTGTACTTGTTCAATCCTTGGCATTGAAGGCACGAATGATTTGCAGTAACACCCCAGAAAGTACTTACTTTTATGAATTCTGTTACATCACAATGTCCCTTACAACTCTCTTCTCTTTATAAGTTGAAACTGGTTATTCATAATCACTATTTCCCCAGTGCAGGATTCTCCCAGTTCTACCATATGAGCCCATTAGAAAGGCTTCTCTCTTTTTTCTTTACCAATGTAGAAATGCACATGGTGTTAAGCACCAGAAGAGGCTCTTTCCATTAGTGAAAGAGCATTTTCCTCTTTATGTTTCTAGTAAGAAATGTTCCTGGTAAACCAGCTGGGTGCAAAATGTATTACCCAATTCTTCCCAGTATAATCTTGGGACTTCAAGCCATAAAACATGTTTGATGTTCACAGGAAGATATGCATTTACTTGTGTAAGGGCCCAAACCCGTAGAACTCCATTCCTTCAGTTATCCATTTTCTTTTGCATAAGTTTCTTAATATCTAATAAAACATTCTCACCACTACAGAAGCATTTTAAAATAATCAGGCAAACAAATAACAAAACTCTACCACAAGATTTAGCTCCTAGGCATACCCAACAGATGTACATACAAGTTCACCAATAGTTGCATGTAAAAATATTTCTAATGACATTATTTTTCATACCTCAAACTTGAAAATACTCAAGTACACATCAACCATACAATGCAAAAATATAGCTACTATATGATAGAATACTAAACAACAAAAATTAACAATTTACACAACATGGATGAATCTCACAAACCTACTTTGAGATTTAAAAAACTTCAAAATAGAGTAAATACTATTATTTATTAACACTTAGGAAAAAAGTTAGGATAGATGTCATCCTTAGTGGGCAGAAGTGACTACAAGAGAGCATAAGGGGGCTTCTGGGGTACTCGTCATTCTCTAATTCTTAATCTGGATGTTGGTTTCACAGATATGCCACTATGCGAAAATACAAGTTATACGTTCTTCTTTATGTATTACATTTCAGCAAACTGTCTTAAAATTCCAGTCTTTTATTACTATTATCTATTGAAAATAAAAAAATAGTAAAAACAAAAACATTAGAAACAATACAGAACTTCACCAAACAAATCAATAGGAATTCAACAATGGTTGCTGTATTACATAATGTTGTTTTCAAATTAGTTCTTCAGATTACTAGATATAAGCAGGCAAATTAGAAAAAAATAAAAAAGTTGTAATAAATTAAAAAGAACAAGAAAAGTAAAAAGAAAAATTTAAGCATTGACTGCTCTCCTCGGTAGACTAGCAGAAATCAGCAGTACAATTATCCAAGCCATCCTGTATACATACCTAACTATATCTTTCTCCCCATTCTCTCCCTCTCATGTCCTTTTCTTCATCCTTCTTCCTTCCCTTTGAACACATTCTTTCCCTTTCACAGTATCTAAGGTAACTTTCAGATTTATTTACTTTCAGGTTCCTACACTAGGGAAACAATATGATGTTCATATATGTGGGTCTGAATTATTTCACTTATGAGTATGACTGCATCCATTCACATACAAAAGCCTCAAAATTATCTTTTCTTTTTTTTAAAAAGCCAAGCACTACTTCATTGTGTAAAAATACATCTGCTTTATCCATTCTCAGTTGATAGGCATTTGGGTTGTTTCCAAGATGTAGCTATGACAAATTACACTGATATAAACATGGGTGTGCATATATCGCTGTGATGTTTTCGGTTCTTTTTTCTGCATTTCTGTTTGATTATAAACATTTTTTAATTTTTCTTTTTTATTTGAAAATTTTTTCATGTATTTATTTTATTTTATTTCATTGAGAAACAAATATCAATGAGACAGTTTCAAAACTGATTAACAGGACAGTTTCAATAATTAATACATTGTACATTATTATCTTCCTAGAGGTTATACATAGTACAAGATGCAGACAGAATATCCTGTCCAAACACTATTAGTACAAATCTTTCTTCTCACTGAATTAAGTGAAAGTAGCTGTATATCTATTCTAACTATTCTGCATATACAGATACAAAATGGTACTTCCTTTGTATCCCCTTTTTTTGTTTAGTCCTTACAGAGATGGGTATTCCATTGGCATCTAAATACTATAGGTGCATGTATTCAACAAAACAATCCAACACAGTCCAGCAGTCCATAATAGTAGTGGGTTATTCTGAAGTTGCTGACTTGAGCCTTTCACAGCTCAGCATATTAATATGGCTTTACTTTATATACCTTGTTTTGATACTTTTCTGCGGTTGGTGAAGACCAAGGCAAGACCTGTATAACAAGAACTATAACTTTTGTACCTGATAAGGTCAGTCAAGTACCCTCAGGATTTATCCTGTAACCCTGTACCACAGTTTGTAGATCCTTTATCAGTGTCAGCCAAGTGGATGAGTCACAGCCATTGCTTGACCAATTTACTCTCTGTGAAAGCCTGAGAGAATGTTTGTTCTCCAGGTGACTCTCCTCAGGCATACTCTACATCATCAATCACGTTGCTCTGTGGCACCATAATCTCCTTGATCAGAAAATTTGGGACACAACTGAGTTACATGATGTTACAGTACAGATTCTCCTATGTCCTGAGTCATCACTGACATCGAAAGCTATAGTTAAAATGTTGGCTGTCCTTGCAGCCCTTTTATTTCTCTAATTTTTGGTCTGCAAACTTAGGTTGTTAACCCTCCAGAAGAGAAGCTTATTATTACCCTACATCTTATGGAGCTGGGTTTAACTTCACTATCTGTCTGAATATCAAACATCTTAGGCCTAACATGGAACAGGTATTTTCCATCAAGTATTGACATGTTAAACATTAAGTCCCTACAGAATATGGAGATAAACATTTAAAAATGAAAAATATTTAAAGAATATGAATAAACAATTATATAATTTTACACAGAAATTTAGAAATCTAACCATGTACAGCATTGTAGCAGGACAGACCTGTGACATGTTTCTTTTTCTTGTAACTTTTTTCATTTATTTCCCATTAAAAAAACCTTTTACATGTGAGATAGTATGGTAATAATTGGTATGTCATGACAAGAAGTAAGTATATAGAAGACCAGAATGGCAGGTTTTCCAAGCATGACCCTTCTATTACACATTGTTACCTTCAGTGCAGTTGCTTGGTTCACGGGTATCAGCATATATAGTTAGTCAGGGTGAGAATCCCACCACTTAACTGCTAGTTTCAAAAACCTGCTGATGTTTCTCAGGATCATTGCCTTGCCCATCTTGTGAGTATAAATGTATGGCTTTGTTCCTGTCCTGTTTCC